GGTAGCATGGCCTACCCTGGAGGAAGAGTGAGAACCGTTGGGGGTCTGGCACACTGAAATGGATCCTCCAAGAGCCTGTTACAAAGCTGAGGGCATAGCACCAATCCTGTGGATCTGTGACAACTAGTACTCTATCTCATAAGGGTGTCATGAAGATAAAATCACTAAAGATTGTGAGGTACTCAGATAGTACAATCTATAACTTTTATTCAGTGGCAAAATAAATGCACTCAGTCAGTGTTCCCAATAAGTCTTCCTAACAAGAAACAAACAGCGGGGCTAAGGCAGGCTCCCTACCTGCCCTGGCTCCATACTGCTCCCAGACTTCATTGCCCGGGAACCTCAGCCAACTCCCTCCCACACCCAAACTCCCCCCCAGAGCCCACACCTCTCATCCCCTCCAGCACCTCAATCCCCTGCCCTAGCCCTGAGCCCCCTCCCATACCCAAACTCCCTCCCGGAGCCCGAACCCCCTCCCACACTCCAACCCCCTGCACCAAGCTCAGCCCAGAGCCTCTCCCACATTCCGAACCCCTTGGCCCCACCCCGCAGCCCACACCCCCTCCTGCACCCCAACCCCCTGCCCCACCCCTGTGAAAGTGAGTGAGTGAGGGGGAGAGCAAGCGATGGAGGGAGGGGGGCTGGAGTGAATGCAGGCAGGGCCTTGGGGAAGGGGCGGTGAAGGAGGCAGAGCAAGGGTGTTTGGGTTTGTGCGATTAGACAGTTGGCAACTGGATCCCAGGGTAAGATAAGGAATTGCCCTGGGCACCTCTCCACCACTGCAGTGTGCTGGTTGTGCATCTAGCTGCGCACGTACTCTAGAGGTGGCTATGTGATTCCTGAATGTATTTAGCTTTGCAACAAAGAAAAGAGAACTGATTATTTTAGTTTAGATTTCTAATAGCAATGAGACCTACTGTATTGTAGCCACACAACTGTTAATATGCTTCTATTGTTTGTCAGGATATCTAGACATAGCTCATAATATACAGTAGCTAAATGGAAACAGATCCTCCTCTGAAGGGTATTCAAATATAATGGAATTGTTACTGGTCTGGTCTGGCAACTAAGTTCCCTTGGGGAAATTCATGCCATTGACCAGCAGGGCTTTAACAATGTGGGTAACATACAGACGTCCTGCAAAATCAAACAAAATTTTGGCTCTTTTTCCTGTAACGGCTTCAGCATTCCAGCTTCGGCCAAGCACAGTGAATAAATTAATGTAAATACCTTCTTCCCCAAACAATCTTTCTGAATCCTCTGTTTGTGATGAAGTGGGCTGTAGCCCACAAAAGCTTATGCTCAAATAAATTTGTTAGTCTCTAAGGGTATGTCTATACTTACCGGGTAGTTCAACGGCTGGCAATCGAAGTCCCGGGTTCGATTTATCGCGTCTGGTCTGGACGCGATAAATCGAACCAGGAAGTGCTCGCCGTCGACTGCGGTACTCCAGCTCAACGAGAGGAGTACCGCGGATTCGACGGGGGAGCCTGCCTGCCGCGTGTGGACCGCGTCTGAACCGCGGTAAGTTCGAACTAAGGTATGTCGACTTCAGCTACGTTATTCACGTAGCTGAAGTTGCGTACTTTAGTTCGAATTGGGGGGTAAGTGTAGACCAGGCCTGTCACAAGTACTCCTGTTCTTTTTGTGGATACAGACTAACACGGCTACTACTCTGAAACCTGTTTGTGACTGTCTCCTTTAGCAAACACAGAAGGTTTTCTGTATCCTGCAGGTAGAAGCAATAGATTGCCTGCTTTTTATCCCTTTCCTTTCCTATTCAACAGCAGCTGAACTTATTGATAAAGATCTTTATAGATGTGTAGAGCAGTGTACAAAGACTGCTGCCCTGGTTTAGCCTCTGTCATCCCCTGACTCCTCCAAAAAATGAACAAGCAAGCTGGAGGTCAGTGCTCTGTTACTAGAATCAGCATTCTGAAATTAACCTGAGTCCCCAGAATGACACCAGGACCTTCCTGCTGGCCAAATCAAGAATTGGAAGCTCCTTTTTAATTTTTTTTCCTGGTGAACAATTGGTACCTATCCACTGACTGCCCCGGTCTAAGGCTTTATAATAGGGCAAAAATGCTTCTCTGGGTGTGGAAAGAGCCCAGTGGCAAATGAAGTGCAGAAAGACAGAGCCAGGAAGGAGTGGGAGAACCCAGGAAGGAGACAAAACAAGTAAGGAGGGAAGGAAGAAAAAAGGACTGGACAGGAGACAAATTTGTGGTAATGAGAGACCATGGGAAGAGAAGAGGGAAACAACCAGTTGTGGAGGAGAGTGCCTTCCATAAACTAATAATTGCAAATAATGTTAACTTTCCAGTGCCTTTTCAATGCAGTTTATTATATGCTTCATGTCTCAGGGAAGCTAAAACCTTCATTCCTGGCACCTGCCCCCAGCCCAAGCAGCAACAGTGTCCCACAAGGATACTCTGAAAATGTATAAGCTTGGGTAAGAGATAATTAACTGTCAGACATAGTCCATCCTGCTGCCAGTGCAAGTTAGTAAACATACAATACAAAACAAATACATTCAGCTAGTTTACATGTTCCAAGTGTTGAGGCTCCTACCACTTCCCTTAGAAATTTATTTTACAGGCTAGTACAGTGGTTCTCAAACTTTTGTACTGGTGACCCCTTTCACATAGCAAGTCTCTAAGTGTGACCCCCCCCTTATAAATTAAAACCACCTTTAAATCTATTTAACACCGTTATAAATGCTGGAGGCAAAGCGGGGTTTGGGGTGGAGGCTCACAGCTCACGACCCCCCATGTAATAACCTCGCAACCCCCTGAGGGGTCCTGACCCCCAGTTTGAGAACCCCTGGGCTAGTAGATCCTAAAAGTGACTATCTTTTTCTTTAGTTTTTTGATTCTAGAACAACTCTTCCCTGTCCCCAGACAGGCAACTTCTTACTTAAAAAAAATAAAAAAAATTTTTGATGGAAAGAATGAGAGTTGTGGTATATAAATGTGTCCGTTGAACTGTGCATGAGAAAGCAAACTTTTCAGCCACCATTTATTGCTAAAGTATGTGTGCGTGGAATGCAGAAGGCTCTGGTATTTATTTTAAATGGTACCCATGGGATATACATCTAATTTCTGAGAGACCCTAATGTTACAGAACTACCAGCTCTCACTATTTTGGATTAATTTGAAGGTTGGTTCAAAAGCAAGCCATTCTTGCAAGGAAGGATACTGAAATGCATGTCACAATAAGATATTTAAAATTTCACTCAGAACTGATTGTTAAATGAGTCCTGTGACAAATCCAGAAGGCACTGATCACAATCTCCCTATTTTTAACCCCCTCCTAAGCTTGGTAACTGGGCAAAAGCATCGGTGCAAACAAATAACAGGAGCCTTGGAGCAAACGTATCATATAGGGTTGCCGATTTTGGTTATATATATTCCTGGAGGTTTCATCACATGACAATCTTTAATTAAAGATTAATCTTTAATTCTTGGGGACAAGGAAAAGAGCCAGATTTTTAAAGGTATATAAATCCCTATCTGTATCTTTAGGTGCATACCTAAAGATACAGATAAATACCTTTACAAATCTGGCCCAACGCTCATGCCTATCATTGTTCCAACAAGAAAATGAAGGTGTTATATAGTCTCCAAAAATGAGGGGACCTGGAACTATTTTTATTAACTGAAACAGCCAACCCACCAGTCAATCATTCAAACCAGGGAATGAAGCAAACTCTGTGAAATAAAAAGCAACAGAGGGTCCTGTGGCACCTTTAAGACTACTTCTGTTAGTCTTAAAGGTGCCACAGGACCCTCTGTTGCTTTTTACAGATTCAGACTAACACGGCTACCCCTCTGATCTGTGAAATAAAACAATTTTATGAGTATTCCCACCCTCCGCTCTCTCAGGTGGTTAAAGTTATCCCTGCTGGTCCTCCCCGTTGCAAGGGGGAGGAGCACAAGAGTGAATAGCACCAAGGCACATGGTGTCACCACTCACCAGGCTGCAAGGGGAAGGAAGTGCTGTATTTGAGTTCAATAGTACAGCAGCACTTCTTCTTCCACAGGCTGATGTGGGGGGTGGTCAGGATGGACTAGAGCAGTGAATCATAGATTAGGGTTGGAAGGGACCTCAGGAGGTCACCTAGTCCAACCCCCTGCTGAAAGCAGGACCAGCCCCACCTCCTCATGGGGGGTGGGGGGAGGCGTTGGGGCTCAGGTGGGTCAAGCCAGAAGAGAAGCAGCCAGGGCCCCCTTCTCCCCAAGCCTCCTGAGCGTGGATCTGGAGCACAGACACAAGCCGCCCAGAAACACGCCCTGTGTCGGAAAGGCTACAGGTGTCCAGACCGACCTGCTGCCGGGCTGGACTGCAGAGTAACCAGGGCAGCAGCGGGCCGTGGCTATGCCGGGCACGTCCGTGTACAGGGAGGCTCAGCGGCTGCCGAGGGGCTACGGCGACGATGCTGGGGTGGGGGTGGGGGGGTGGCAGCGTTTCGATGCCGTCAGGGGGGCCCTGGTTGTGAGCGGGGCCGAGCACCCGCAGTTCCCACTAAAGCCCCGAGACTGGGCAGCCCCGCCCAGGAACACGCCCCACCCCCGGCGGGCAGTCCCAGTCCCAGAGACGCGGGGGGCTGGTTGGTGAAGCGGGGCTGGACTCGCTCCAAGCCCGTGTCAGCGCTGGTCTCGGTCAGCTCGGGGCGGCACGAGACTCCAGTCAGCGTTGGGAGGGTTTTTTACCTCACCTTAGCGCCCCGCCCCGGAGCGGGGCGCTCACCGCTGACGGGTGGGTGCGCGTGGGAGCGACGCCGGCCGGCTTGCAGCACGCGCGCGCGCGGACGGTGTGAGGGGGTCTCCCGCCGCGACGGGCAGCCTGGGCGAGCGAGGGTCGCGAGCCCCGCGGGGTTCTCTGCCCACGCGCAGGGGGGCGAGGCAGCATTGGGGACCCGCGGAGGGGCGGGGCCATCCTGGCGTGGGCGGAGCCTGCAGCTGGCGCCCTCCCCGGCGGCCCAAGTTCCGCAGGGTTTGAATGCAGCCCCCTGCAAGATGGCGGGCAGGCGAGGAGGTGAGGGGCCGGCTGGGGATGCCCCCTTCCTGGGTCAGCGGGGATGGGGGTGAGGAGCTGCCCGCCCAGTGCCCCTCCGGGTCCGTGCGGCCTTCGCCCCCGCACACCCCGAGACCTAAGGCAGGGCCCCACTGGCTGCGGAACCTGCGAGGGGGGGCACTGTGGGGTGCCCGGGGGCGGCGGCGTGCAGTGCCGGGGAGGGGGGACAGGGGGGTGCCTGGAGGAGGGACGGGGGGACAGTGTGCGGTGCCTGGAGGGCGGGGCGGGAGATGCTGGGGGGAAGGGTGGGGGGATAGTGTGCGGTGCCCGGGGGGCGGCGGTGTGTAGTGATGGGGGGGGGGCGGCGTGCAGTGCCGGGGGGTCAGTGTGCGGGGCCTGGGGGAGGGGCGGTGTGCAGTGCCGGGGGGTCAGTGTGCGGGGCCTGGGGGAGGGGCGGGGGGACAGTGTACGGTGCCGGGGGGAGGGGCACTGTCCGGTGCTAGGGAAAGCTGGGGGAGGCATCATTGCCCTATGCCTGCGGGAGGCTTTTGGCGGGAGAGGTCGCTGCATGAAGTTAGAAATAGTCAAGGCCTCCCCCAGACTGGGTAACCTCCACTGCCTCTCCCACTCCTCTTCTTTCCAGTAGTGATGGGCTAATTGCAGTTTTGGTTGTGACACAAGTGAAAAATCCCCTGCGGAATTCAACTGCTGTCAAATACTTTTAATAAAACAGGAAAAAAAGCTGTTGCTTTGGGCTCCAGACTTGTGACTTGCTATAAACGTTGGACGATCACCTCCTAACAGAGTTCTGAACTGTTGCAATTATTGTTCCATAGTCGGCACCCTTACATCTTTATAACAGTTACATTGTCTGTAAATTGTAACCCTCCTAAATCTGGCCCAATTGACAAGAAATCAGAGATGTTTCTGGAAGAGGGATTTGCCTCTGTCTCATCCCAATCTCCATGGTTGCATAGCCAGTACAAGAGTGTTGATTCCACTTGACTAACTGCAGATACTTAGCAGTCTTGTAAAAAAAAGTGAAGGGTTTCTACATAACTGCAGTCAAAAGCATGAACTTCTACTGCTAGGGTACCTTAAGGTCAGGGTAACTATTTTTTTTGTGTTTTGTTTCAAAACTGGTAACTATACTGAGAATCTTTTCCTATGAAGAATTAGTATGTCCTAGGTAGTTTTTTTTTTTTTTAAATCATTACATGAATGCACATAGTATCATATGCGAAGCTTGAGGTTCAGGCAGAGAACTATTACAGGCTTACTTTATACTTAACTGGAGTAGCATTGGTTTTGTCTGCCTGTGTGCTACATTTATAGTTCTATAAATATATTGTGGACAATTCTTACAAATTACAATCTGGGGGCTCGGGAGCAGACTAAAAATCAAGTGCTTAATTTTTTTCAACTCAGCTGAGACATTAAATTAGTAAAGAATCCTATTTTCTTATTGTAGCTTGGTATGTGCCTTGTCTAGCTTCACTTGAGACCATCCAGGAATTATGTAGGAAGGAAAATCTCACATGTAAATCCCTTGGAATCACCAACAGGAATCTAAAGAGTTATGAGGTGGAATATTTATGTGACTACAAGGTAGAAGAGGTAAGATAACTGTCTAGTCTTACAGAACAATTTGATCAATATTTCAGTTTGAAATTTGGAAGTGAGAAGCAGTAGTTTTCCTTAAGGTTTAAAGTGCTAGGCTAGCAGAGGGCTCTTGTTAAGCTACTGCTGACATTGAACAAAATATTTCAGAATGTTGAAGCCTAAAAAATATGTTCTTTAGCTCTGACTCTCTAAGGAAGGAAGGTTCTGCTGAAATAATGGAAATGTTAATAATAGAGCACAAAATGTCTGATCCTTGTACATCAGTGCTAAAGCAAATCTTACTGTGCTTAAATAACAGCGCAGTATGTATTATGATGCTTCTCTTCTCCCTTGTTTGCAGTTAAAATAACACTTCTTCCTCTATAGTACTGCAGTCTGTTCCTTGAACAGTTAAGGCCACATGCTACAACTCGATCCATTGCCAGACCCCAGTTAGGTGCCGTGTGTGTGCAGAAGCCGACCATTGTGTGTCTGGTTTACGGATTTGGCCTTATTGCTCTATTTCCTTTGAAAACAAACCTCCCTTTGAAATAATTACATTTTACAATACATATTCTTCTTAGTAGTAAATATAGTATTAAGAAGTGTTTTGACTGCATTATTCCTCTAGGATGACTCATGTAACTATTACCAGTAGTACTGTTAGAGGTTTTTTGGTAAGTTTAGATTTTCTTTTTGTTCTGTGTAGGGTGTTACTTTATTCTCTTTCCTTATAGAAGTTAGTATATATGATCTTAACTGTGGCTGTGCTAACAAACTAACCCATGCTGGTATAATTTAATTGTTTTGGATCATTCTATCCAGCTGTACAGTTATCCGTGTCCTTACAAGTGGTGCACAAAGTACATACCCAGTTACCTTGCGTTTGAAATGCTTGATTCTCTACTGTTAGGACCAGATGGCTGTGAATTTAACTATGTGGTGTTATGCCTCAATCATAAGAAGGGTGTTAAGGATGTTAGTTTGACTGCCCCTCAGTTTATGCATTTTTGCCACCTCCTTAATGACAATCACTCCTCTGTTTAATTTTATTTACTATGGATGTGATACCAAAGCAGTTGTATCATTGAACAACCACACTTTATTTTCAAGGTATTTTTGATTAACTGTTGTTGGAAATGTTCTGGCTAAATCTGTATCTATTTCTCTATTTCAAGGGCACAGAGTACTTCCTTGTGAAATGGAAAGGATGGCCAGAATCCTCAAATACCTGGGTAGCTTTGAAAAATCTTAAATGCCCATTGCTCCTTCAGTACTTCCATAGTGACAAGAATGAATATTTATCTCAGCTAAAGCGAGGCAAAGCTGTAATATTGAAAAACCATATTAAAGCTTTGAACCCTGTAGTAGCACAGTACGTAGTAAAGAAGGCTAAACAAAGAATAGCTCTTCAGAGATGGAAGGAAGAACTCAATCGGAAAAAGAACCATAAAGGAATGATTCTTGTAGAAAACACTGTGGATCTTGAGGGCCCTCCTTTAGACTTTTACTATATTAATGAATATAAACCTGCTCCAGGAATAAATGTAATGAATGGAATCACAACCGGCTGTGAATGCTCTGATTGCCCTGCTGAGAAGTGTTGTCCAGAAGAGGCTGGATTTTTCTTGGCTTACAATAAAAAAAAGCAGTTAAAAATCCAACCAGGCTTGCCTATCTATGAATGCAACTCGTACTGTAGATGTGGTCCTGAATGCCCTAACAGGATAGTACAGAAAGGCACACCATATTCTCTTTGCATCTTCAGAACTAACAATGGACGTGGCTGGGGAGTAAAAACCCTCCAGAAAATTAAAACAAAGAGATTTGTGATGGAGTATGTTGGAGAGGTATGTATTTATCTCAGAGATGAATTATTTGGAATAAAAGATTTAAGTGTTAGTAGAATACTTTTTAAAAATAAAAATCCTTTCCTTTTTCAACACTTTTGATTCTGTTACATAACAGATCAATATGCACTTGGTGTTAATAAAATACATTGAAGACATCTCATTTGAAAGTCAAATTACCTTTATATTGTATGACCCAGGGTGTTTTCTGCACCAAAGCAATGCAAAGGGGCTGAAGTGCAAAAGAGATCCTTGGCATTATGTTTTTTTATATTGTAACTTTTAGAACCAGTCTTGTCTCTTCTTTCACATTTTTTTTTTTTTAAAATTAGGCCTTCTTTACTATCTTGTCACTGACAAGGAATTTGATTATCCTGATCATCTCCCATCTTGACTACTATGGCCTTCTCTTCTAAGGTTCTCTTAATACTGATCTCATCCCAGGCCAAATTATTGCAACAATTATTTTTATCACTTGTCATGCTGATCATGTCAGCCCTTGTATTTCACCATGTCTAAACTTGGAAAATAGGTTGTGCTTTAAAACGTATTGGTCAATACCAGTTAACAGGTTGTTAAAATTACTTTGCCCCTAGTGCAGACAGGGCAAGTCATCTAACATGTCTTAAAACAGTGTGTTTTTCTAGTCTAGACATGGCCCTTGAGTCACACACTGCAACTGTGAACCAGTGAAGTATCAAGTTAAACTTGTCCTTGCTTTCAGGGCACCTACATGATCCAGTTTCTGCTTACATCTCTTCCCCATAATCTGTGGTCCACCACTGATGCCAGCATCAGTACTGTATTTGTCCCTTTGCACAACTATTTCTTTATCTTCTTCCGTGTGCTGCTTCTATGTTTACCTTCCCCAAACTATCCAATTCCCATTCCGATCCTTCCTAAAAACTCCCTTAGAATGTACAGGAGATCAGTTTCTCAAAATAGAATTAATCCTGTGTGATGATAATGAGGAAACTTTAGGGGGACGGTGGGGGAGGGAGAGGCATGTGGAGAGAGGCAGGACTTTAAATGAAGGTGGTGATTAGTTGTTTGTGTGTCTTTCCCTTGCCTCCTTCCTCCTACTCCCTCCTCTGGCTGTATGTGATTATACTTTGTTATTCAGAGGGTAAAACTGAGTGATAAGCTCCCAAATCCAGGTTTCCTATCTCAGGGCTATCTTCAAGGGATTGTTGTAATGTTCACTATTTTTCTTTGTTTGTTATTACCAGAAAAAGATTTCGTTGTGCTAACTCTACCAGTAAAGTATATATTTAAAGTATAAGACTGGGGATAAACTTGCATAGTCTGCAGCCTCAAGCAGGAGCCCTCTTTCAGGCGGTTTCTGCATATCTCCATTGTGCTGATGGGTGCTGGCCATCCCTGACTAATGATAAGCTATACCAGTAGAAGTGCAGTTTTGCTTGTATAATTTTGTCTACGCTAGGAGCTTCTGCCAGCACCGCTGTCAGTCAGGGATCACAACTCTTCACACCTTTGATCAACATAGTTGTGCTGGCAAAAGTCTGTAGTGTAGATATAGCTATAAGCCAGTCCTGCAAAGCGATCCATTTGCAAAAAAGTCACATTGAAATCAGTGGGACTTTCTGTGGGCATTACCATCTGCATAGGTAAATTATATTACAGAAGTAGCACCATACATAGTAACTCAGCAGGGAGTGGGGAGAAAAGGGAAGTTTTGAGAGTAGCTAAAGTTACAAGTGTAACCTGATATATTGATTCTCTCATACGCTGAGGGAAATGGGGGGGTGGGGTGGGGGAACATGGCTGGTTCCACCTTCCCTGAACCTTTTGTGGTTCTGCTTGAAGTGAACAATTCTGTACAGATCTGGTGGAAAAATAATATGGAGGTTTAAGTAGTAAATATAAACTCTTTAGGAGAAATGATAAGGCACTGTAGATAGGGTAGGCTGTAATTGTCTAATGACCACATCCTCCTTTAGGGAGCCTGTGATTTAAAGCGATCTAAAATGTAGTTATGAGGATTACTTCTAGAGGAGTTCAGAGAAGTTGGGGGCAAAGATAAATCACTAGTAGCCCAATTATTATATAGCAGGCCTTTTCAAGTTTTTATTCTACATTGTATAGAACACAATGGGACCATAGCTTTTTATCTGTAAATACATATCCAGGGAAACTGTCCAATATTATATTGCTTGAGGAGAAAATACGATCACTATCTATTAATAGGGCATTAGTGACTTTAGAAACAATCAGTAGTCAATTTAAATAGTTATGTTTAAGTGTTCCTTATTCCTTACAGATACACAGCAACCTTCTTTCTTCCTTTAAAGACAAGTCTCCCTACTTCTGTTCAAGAAAATGTAAAAGTTTTTTCTAACTTCTTTGTGGTTTTGTTTCAGTTCAGTAACAGTTAATAATATGATGCAGGTTTCTTTTTTTAGGTGATCACAAGTGAGGAAGCAGAGAGACGAGGTCAACTGTATGACAACCAAGGAAATACATACTTGTTTGACTTGGACTATGACTCGGATGAATATACGGTGGATGCAGCTCGATATGGAAATGTGTCCCATTTTGTGAATCACAGTGTAAGGGCTTTTTTTGTGTGTTAGAGAACTGTCCTGTTTGCACCAAGAATGCCTTCTCCTTTTGTAAATATCTTGATATCAAACACAACTTTAATGGAATTACTTGTTTCATACCAACCTCTTTCTCACCCTCCAAAGAAAATGCCGTGAGAGTGGATTAATGCTGTTATGGCAGCACAGTCACATAAACTTGAAATCTTTGAGGAAAAATTGAAGTCACTTTGTCTCATGATGTTTTAAAAGTCTAAATTAAAATAATAAATTTTATGAAACAATTAATGTGAGGGATCCTAAAATGGACAGAGTGCATGAAAGTGAAAGGGGCCTCAAATATTCCCACATGCCCCACAATCCTAATTTTTATTAATGCTTTCTTCTTGTATGTCTAGAAAGATGCCTTTCTTGCAGCATCCAACATACCATAATGATCAGTTAAATAGGATGGAAGAAATACTGATACATACCTTATTTGGAGCAAAATTAAATATGAAAGAATATAAAGTAGCTTAGATTTAAGACATAATGTTTGAAAAGACACAATTATGCTTTAGTTTTTCACAAACATTGGGAGTGCAAGGTTGTTTATTAACAGGATCACTCCACAAGACATCACTTTAAATAGCAATTTTATTTTACCTGTTGAAGTAAAACTAAAAGTGTTTTCACTGTTCCTTACTCTTTCATGTTCAGAATTACCTAAGAGGAAGGTGTCAGCAGTTTCTGAATTAGGGATTTTCATTAAAATGTAAAATAACATGATCTGTGGTCCTGATTCTGCAATCTGATCTATGTGGATGGACCTCTGAGCTCAAGCAGAGATCCACTGGCCTCATTGGAACTCAGCCTAAGAATAAGGGTTTGCCCAAGTAGATCAGATAGCAGAGTTGGGATCATAATCTATTTCCAGCGTATTCAATACTTGTTTCCAGACACCCAAAACAAATTTTTCTCTTCAGATAATTGAATACCAACAGTATAGGAAATAACTGCATAATTTAACTCTTGGCTGTTGATTAATATTATATGAACTATCAACCTCTCTGAAATACAGGAAGAGGAGGAGAGCGTCTGAATGTACTTTTGTTTCAGTTGTAAGTAATGGAGAGAAGGAATTTTCCTGCCTTTTCCATAGCATCTCTCCCCCCCCTTCCTCCTTTCCTCAGCACCATTTGTAAACTCCCTGGGGAACTTGAAATTGTTTTTTAAAATAGTTTTACTTAAACTGAAAGGACCTAACACAGAAGACCTACTTTTGAACCCAGGCTCTCCTATGCATGGAGTTGCACAATTTTTTAGTTTAAGAAATTACTATTACTTTTTGATTTGAAGTTAGTAACTACAGCAGTTCATCTGTTTCCTTTTTATTGTGTGCATGAATTGTTGATCCTACACCTACTTTTGTGAAGGTGAGTTGGGGAGAAGGAAGGGATGTGTTTCTAGATGTTGCTAGATGCTCTGCACTTTTGAAAATCGGGCTGCTGTATTTAGATGTCTAAATATGAATTTTGGAGGCTGACTTCAGGCACACATTTTTTTGAAAATACGTGACTAAGAATTCTGTCCAAAGGCAAGACATGGGTAGAATTTTCAGAAACGCCTAGCTAACGTAGGAGCCGAGTCCCATTTACTTTTGAAAATTGTATATATAGTTAGCAGCACACTTTCCTAATTAATGCTCTGGCTTTTTTCATGGGCTGTTAGATAACTAGAGGCCAAACAGGTATGAACTAGAGACCAGAACTCCCACCCACTGCACCAGGATAATATTTTTGCCCTTGGGAGCAAAGTTGAGGTCTGATTTAAGTACAGTTAGTAGGTGTGGCTTGAAAAGGTCACTCTCCCACCTTTTCATCCTTTAGTAACTCTTGTTTAAGTCTGAAATAATTTTAGATTGCCTTTTTTGAAATTGTTTTGATTCACCCACTCCACCCTACTCAGTTGCAATCACTTTCAAGCTGTAACTCTTTTTTACTGTTTTTTTTTTTTATAGGTTATAGTTTTAGTGTGCTATACCTGAAGAAGAGCTCTGTATAGAGGTGGAGTTGGAGACAAAAGCTTGTCTCTTTTCACAAACAGAAGTTGGTTCTATAAAAGATTCTCACTCACCTTGTCTGTGTACTATACCCACAGCGCCATGGTGTCAATACTGTTACTTAAAAGGGCCCTGCTTTCATTTAATAGTGATGTTTCAACAGATGTAATTCTATTGACTTACAATGGCAAAAATCACAAGTAAGTCCACTGAAACTGAGAGGAGACTCAGCCCCCAAATTGTTATAGTGTCACTTTCTTCTCACTAGTAGCACACAATACGTTTTAATTGCCATTCTCTACACTGTGTCTACGGTTCTATTTTGATAGCAAATGTACACCTGAATTACAAAACTATAACTTTGCTTTGCAGTGTGATCCAAATCTTCAGGTCTTCAATGTTTTCATTGATAACCTTGACCTACGTCTTCCTCGGATAGCACTGTTTTCTACGAGAACCATCAAGGCTGGAGAAGAGCTCACCTTTGATTATCAGATGAAAGGTATGTAGAGTGTAAATCTTTGTGTGCAGGATAGATGGTACTGGCTGGTGTTGTTGCAGCTTGATCAAGTTTCAGCCCGGGTTTGCTGAAATCAAAGTGTTTAACTTCCTCTTTTTGGAGAGACCACTCTCTTCTTTGTTTTTCCTACTTTGTTATGCCAACACCTCCTTCCAGCTAAGAGGGCTGGATGCAGCACCCACTTAATCCAGTCAATAATCTCTGCAGGACAGGTTTAAAGAATGATGCACAGCACCCCTATGCATATAACAGTATATTTAGTGAAGTGGATTAGAGCCCTGCATGGGACTATTTTTGTTTTAATCCAAACAAAAAAAAGGTTGGTTTTTACATATATGGAGAGCTGGGTGGCTGGAGAGTGGTGGCTGCTGGCCGGGAGCCCAGCTCCGAAGGCAGAGCTGCCGCCAGCAGCAGCACAGAAGTAGGGATGGCATGGTGTGGTATTGCCACCCTTACTTCTGTGCTGCTGCCTTCAGAGCTGGGCACCTGGCCAGCAACCACTGCTCGCTGGCCACCCAGCTTTGAAGGCAGCGCAGGGGTAAGGATGGCAATATTGCGACTCCTCCCCTACAATAAACTTGCAACTCCCCCTCCCCCACTACATCCTTTTGGGTCAGGACCCTCAGTTTGAAAAACGCTGGTCTTCCCCGTGAAATCTGGTCTTTTGTGTACTTTTACCCTATACTATACAGATTTCACGGGGGGAGACCAGGTTTCACAGTCAGTGATGTGTTTTTCACGGCCATGAATTTGGTAGGGCCCTAGTTATGCATTTGGTATACTGAGACCATTGCCTATTGTCTTGACCAATATACTCTCATTACTTCCTCTTGCTTCCTTATCTGTCTGTCTAGATCTACCTGTTGTCTTTTTGTACTTTAGATTTCAAGCTCTTTGAGCAGGGACCGCCACCTTAGTCTGTGTTTATACAGCACCTAGCATAATGGGGTCCTCATCCTTGACGAGCTCAGAGCCAATCCACAATAATCTGTACAATAAGATTCCAGGATTGTCACTTTGAAACCTAAAATGTCTATGGAGTCAGTGTGAAGCAATGAAAACAGATACAAGCATGGTTGAGAACTCTTTATTTAGAATGTCACCAGGTTCAATCATCACTGGGATTCATGGTCTGTTATTGTTCAACTTTTAAATTCTCAGCCATTTAGACTTCATGAATTTCACCCATGCAACAGCATGAGCTTTCAGCTACTAGTAAATAATAATTTTAAGTAACAATTCTTCAGACTTATACTAATGCTTAACTTTGCGCACACACAAGTAGTCCCATTCAGTTCAGTGGGACTTACTCACATGTGTGAAGCTAAATACGTGCATAGGTCTTTGTTGAATTGGGGTCTTAAATTGTAAGCTTTTTTTGGAGGGCAGACACTACCTTTTTCTTTCTTGTACAATTCCAAGCACAATAGCAATGCCTAACAAATAATATCCATTTCCAACAACCATCAATTCTGTTTCTGTATATTCTTATGTGTTTAGGTTCTCTAGATGTGACTTCGGACTCTGATGCTGTCAGCCCAACGAGAAAGAGGATCAGAACTGTGTGCAAGTGTGGAGCTGTGTGTTGCAGAGGGTATCTCAACTGAATTCTCAATAGCCAAAGTTGCAAATAAATTATTTCATTTTGTGTCTTTTTAAATGTATTTTAGGAAGACTGCTGTTCTAGTTCACTTATACTTACAAATTGGAGTATTTTTACATATGAGTGAATCAATATAATGAAAACAAAGCATTAAATTTGTATTTGAAAATGTCATTAGCCAAAGAAAGAGATCTGATATTACAACTGCTCTTAAGTATGAAAACTGGCTATGTGGATTAAAAACTAGATCTCCTTGGAATTATTTGCACACTGTGGATTAGGAGCTGATGAAGGTGCATGTTAATGTGACATCAAAGTTGAATATTCAAGTGTGTTTATGATTCCAATCCTGTGAAGAGCTGATTTCAATATGAGGGTGTTCCACATCTTGTGCTCTATGAAATGGAAATCCAATACCATTGATGTACTAGAAATCACAGTTGACTTACCATTTTTCTTAAAAGGTTTCAAGAAGTAGCAGTAAAATTTGGGGCCCCGATCCTCCATTGGGATCTACCGCCATTAAATTCTGCATAGGTACACTTCATAGAGTAGACTTAAGAAATAGTTTTTGTTTTTTTGACGTATCCATGGAACTTCACACGAGACTGATCAGTGTTAGCAGATGCTGGATACAAGATTGGGTAGTAATCACTGAAACAAATCATTGGTGAAGGTTTGGAAAGCGATAGACAGGAATTGAGTAAAAAAAATAGCCAATATTTCTTTCATGAACCTAGTGCATTGATACCCAGTTATATGGCATAGACATAAAAGTATCCCAGCAATGTAATTGTATCAACAGCTGTCTTATATTATGTTACGAACTTTTACATATTGTGAATTTTTTCTACCTAGTGGTAGACTTTAAACACATTATGCCAATTTTTTTTTTCCTGTTGTAATAACATAACTTCAGTGAAGTTACAGAAAGGGTGAATTTACCCATTTACTGTAGACAGTAGTAAGACGTTCTTTGAATCTTGAATGTAAAAGGCTGAAAAACTTACTGTTCTTCAGCTTCTTGAATATTTTTTTTCTGTTAAACTTCTGATATTTTTGAAGATTATTGAAAATGTGATGATGTATGCTAAATTGTTCTTGACTTCAGAGAAGCACCCAACAGCAATTAAGTTAGTTGTAGACTATGGGTGGAACCACATAGTAACTGTACTCTAGGGACAAAAGTTCAATTCTTATTTTCTCATTGATTGATTGTAAACATTGCATATTTCTTGGAAGTGATGTACAGAATCTTTAAGGGGATCAGGCATAACTGCTGCTCATCAAATAGACATTTGCTGTATATCATGAAGTCAGCTACTTACTTTTATAAGGTACAGTGCTGTTGGCTCAGGTGGTTGAGGTCAAGTGTTCAGCCTGTGATTATCTACTTGGTTTGTTAAAAATATGCCTTAAATTTCATGTTTGTTGAAGGACAATATGATCATTTGTTAATTTAAAAGCACAAATGTACATGAACTGCAGAACTGGCTCTGTGTAGGGATAGTGACATTTTGTACAGCAAGGCTTATCCAATTTGTGATTGGGCATACATGTTGGGGGCTATTAGCAATGCACAAAGCTATGTATCTGCTTGTCAACTGAAGAATTTATAATTTTAAAGTAGATGATTTATATTGTTTAATGAATGGCACACTAATTGCTTAGGTTTAAACACATCTAACATTGCTATGCTACCTGGAGTCCAGGCTTGGATGAAACTGCTGCATCTAGTCATTTTTAAAGGTATTATTGTTATCGGATAGAATTAGTCATGCGTCTCCCCCATAAGTATTTTATAAATCTTAAGGGAACCTTAAATGCCCTTTTTAAAAAAAAATTGTTTGAGCCAAATTCATTTCTTTTCCATTTACATATTGCCCCAGTAAACGGGGTTGTGTGCGCCCATGTAATCCTTCATTTCATTTCCTTGCCCCTGTCCAAGCTGCTCCCCAGGCTCTCTCTCTACAAGACATGAAAGGCCTCAGACACTTTGGTTGGCTGCTCTGCTCCTTCCTCTTTAGCCCTGCTCATGGGTATCCTTAACAAAATACATGGATAGGCAATTACAGATATCTACATTTTAAGTAGATAAAGGTCTGCCAGCTGTCAAAACCCGAATGTAGGTCCTGTCTTTTTACAAGTCAGTGTGTATAACACCAGCTGCTATTCTTTAGGGGCTGTGTGTTACCTCTCCTGCAGGCCACAGACAGGACCCTGGATTCAAATCTTGGCAGGTAACAGGAAATTATTAGATATAAAGTCTACTGCTGTATCCTGTTATTTATTTAGGACCTCAAACCATGTTTTGTGTTTACCTGTTTACAGTGCATTTCAATTTGCCTTGTGTTAATGGGACATTAAGTTGTTTTTAAATGTGACATTGAAAAAGCTGTTTTCAGTTTCTTAGCAAGCTCCGGCCAACCTTGCTTTGGCCTTTTCTGCTTTTTTGTAGGCATTACCACTGCAGCTGTGCAAATAGCTCTTGGGTACTGGTAACCTGTTAACTGTCTTCTGGCTGGTTTTGAGGTAGCAAAACTAAAAATGCTGCAGCATCCTCACCAAGCAAAAGCTATTGTGTATTTATTTAAGTTCTCAGTTATACCAACTCTTTGTGTATTGGGGCTGTGTACTTGTTTATAACCTCAGGAACATTACTTTTTCATAAGATATGACATCTTTCTCTGTAATAGCAGTTAGTTTCCTATAGTTTCTTTTGGTAAAATAAATTAAACTTAGTTTTTTCTTTTGTTGTTGGCACAGTATAATAACTACCATCCCTGCTGTAGGTCTTACATTTTGTTCATGTAATCTCTCATACAGCATTAGACAGCAGCTCAGAAAAAGTCCTCATGAATTACTTTCGCAAGTCTGAGTGGCATCATTTTACCAGCATTGTCTGTACTAGAAATGTGCAGCAGTTTCTGTGAATATATCCCTAGCCCTATACACAGTCAGCTAGAACAGCAAATTCACTATCTTCCGTCTCCAGAAACTTGTCAGTTGCCTCTGATTAAATAAGTAATTGATAACACTTTGGCAAGTTTAGAGAATGTAGTGGTCTTAGTGAGCTGATCATCTATAATAGGCTAAGGACTTTAATGCTGTACACTAGTAACCCACAACTGCACACAAAGTCTGAGTGGGGGGAGAGGTTGTCTGCTTGTCAGATTTATTTGAGCTCCCTCTCTTGAAAGGGACACCAGGGCTGATGTGAGGGGATCTAAATGCTGAATCTGTAAGATGCTTTAAGCAGCCAGAGTCTAAATGGAGTCCAGGCCCTGTCCCTGGCTTGAGGTCTCCATGTATGTTCTCAGCATGCCAATCATCAATCTAGCACAGGGATGGGTAAACTTTTTGGCCTGAGGGCTGCATCAGGTTTTGGAAATTGTATGGAGGGCTGGTTCGGGGAGGCTATGCCTCCCCAAACAGACAGGTGTGGCCTGCTTCTTACCTCCAGGACCCTTGCCCCATCTACCCCATCCAACCCCTCCTCTCATTCCTGGCTGCCCCATCCAACCATCCCTTCTTCCTGACTGCCCCCAGAACCCCTGCTGCCCCATCTAACCCCCCTCCTTCCTGACTGCCCCCCTGCACCCATTCAACCCTATTCCCTGCCCTCTGACTGCCCTGACCCCTATCCACACCCCTGCCCCCTAACCACCACCCTGAACTTCCCTGCCCTCTATCCAACCCCACCTGCTCCCTGCCCCCTTACCGCGCTGCCTGGCGGTGCTACAGCCATGTCGCCGGGTCAGGCCAGGCTCTGCAGCTGCACTGCCCGGTCACTCAGAGCACTGCGCCAGTGGCGCAGCATGCTGAGGCTATGGGGGAGGGGTCAGGGGGCTAGCTTCCTGGGGCAGGAGGGTCCCGCAGGCTGGATGTGGCCTCTAGGCCCTAGTTAGCCCACTTCTGGTCTAGCACTACCCAGGAGAGCTGAGACCCCCCTCCCAGAACACCACCTGGGTGAGGGCTCTGGGTTTACAATTTCTCTTCAGGGGCACGATAGATGTAACAGCACAGCAATCTGCACAGGATTCTAAAACACCCCTGCTCTTTACTTAAAAGCATGAGAAACAGGTACCTAAAATAAAGGGTTTATTTCCCTTCCTTAACATGCTTTAGGGCTCAGTAACCAAAATTATTTTGCAGCAAGATGGGTCAGTCTCTTTCTCTAGGGCTGCATACTTAGAGCTCAATTGATCCCATAGCTAAACCAGGGCCCCCCTAAAAATATGCTTCTCCTGCCCAAAACTTCATATCCCAAGAGTGCTTTTTACGCTCCAGCAGTCCCTTACAGCATCACTTGCTCTAACTGCTTTCCTAACACGTGTCCACTGAGGCATTCAAAAATACAGCATTTTGTAACGGCTTTAGAATGAACACTCCCTCGTCCCCCACTCCTCACACCCCTATAGCCAACAGGTATAAGATTTAAGATGAAAGGAGACCCGAACTACCTCTGATTGAACTCTCACAGTGAAACCATGTTTACAAGCCTACCTTCCCTGAAACTTAGTTCGAGTTGTTTTAGCTGAGAGCAGCACCAACTAGGGAGCTAGAATTTTAGCAAACCTTTCCAACAGCGTTCTGCTGTACACAGTAAGGATAGGACACTCTAGAATAGGTAAGTTTGCAGGTGTGCCTAAATTAGGCGTAGTCAACTTTTTTCCAAAATTTAATTTTTTTTTCCCCAGTGAGTTGTAAGTTATTTCTTAAAATCCATGTTCTTGTGCATAAGTGATCTGTTTCCCCATCTGTGGATTAGTCAGTCCTACTTCATATTCCAAGTTAGCTGTTACTCCAGGAGGGTGCAGGGTCTTAGTATTACACCCCTCTATGCTATGGCTGAAGCTTGTGGCACACAGTCTTAGGGATTCTATTTCTCTCCCCGCTCAAAACATTAACACCTCATAGATTCCAAAGCCTGAATGACTCCTGTCCATTTAAGAACAACAGCTCAGTTCCTTGAGCTAAAACAAATTCAAGTAGGGAAGCTTTGGCTTTTTGTTTGTTTGTTTTGTTTAAGTCTAAAACTAGTATTTAGTAGAATCAAAAAAGTGCTACAGCAGCTCCCTAGCTTAGAGCAGAGGGTACATGGCTAGAAGCTAGCGTAATCTGCTTTAAGAGTATAAAATAACAATCGTAGGGGTCATTTCAAGTGTTACTTACATACCCACTTAAGGTCCACAGTGAAGGTCTCTCAGATCTTTGTTATTTAGAACATTCACTGAAGAGAGCTCCATATTACAAAAGAAAAACAAAACCACTACCAACCCAACACCTTGGAAGAGTGCTCGCGTGCCAGTATTCAAAGACAAGTATGATAACACCAGTATACAGGCTTGACATGAATCCAGGGCAAATTAGAAAAGCTGATTCAGAATTCATTTGGTAAAGAATTAAAAGGACAGGAATACAGTTGCCACCGTTTTATGGAAAATAGATTTTGCCAAACAAACCTAGAAACGAGACGGTACGGAAACGAGCCACATGTTATTTGAGGGCTGGAGAAAATGTGTTACAGTGAGAGAATTAGAGTCCAATCTGTTTAGCTTATCAAAAAAAATGAGGAGACTATTAAATTTTAAGTAACTGCACAGGGAGAAAATAGCAGGTACTAAAGAGCTCTTAAATCTACCAGAAAAAGGCATAACAAGAACCAATGGCTGGAAGCCAAAGTCAGATTTAAATTAGACACAATTTTGTAAACAGTGTAAGGGTCATTAACCACTGGAAGACGACCAAAGGGAGGATTCTTTGTCTCTTGGAATCTTCAGCTCAGGACTGGATGCCTTTCTGGAAGATGTGCTTTAGCCATACACAAATTATTAGGCTCCCTACAGGGTAACTCTGTGAAGTTTACTGACTTGTGACATACAGGAGGTGAAAATAGATGATCTATTAATTGTCCCTTCTAGTCTAACTCTAAAGAGGGTGACAATTCACAGGAATTGGTTATGTCAAGACTTGATCCCAGCACTATGGTGATTATACATTGCAATTCACATCGGGACAGCTTCAAGTTTACCTTTTCTAAACAACATACACGCAAGCAGACATGTACCAGGAACCAAATGGAAGAATAAGAAAAGCTGAGCTTGTGTGAAAACAGAAGTTTAAACAGACAACATTAGGAAATATTTTTCAGCGAGTAATGTTTAAATCACTAGACATAGCTTGGAACCGTTCTTTTCTTGAAAGCTGAGCTGTGTAGGACTAATGACAAGAGGGGGTGGGCAGGAGGTGATGTTTACGGTTGGTTTGCAACATCTCACTTAAATTATTCTTTACAGCCAAAAATCTACCTTTTGACCTTAACAACAGTTCCTGGGTAGGCCTAAGCCATTTGCTATACAACTAATTTTAAAGGTCTTTTGAAAATTAAGCAAATCCAGTACATTTCTAAGACTACAGTCTTCTTAGTCTGTTGACTGGAGAGTAGCAAGTGTACTTTGCTCTCTGAAAGAATTACTCGCCTATGTTAAATATATGCAGAGTTAAGAGTTTTATAAAAAGTTTATTAAAACATAGCTTTATAAAGATTGCCTTGGATATAGACATATTTACAAATTCAAAGATCTGGTTAGCTACCTGCCGACTCTTAAAGACAGCTTGATATCACTCAACTAAATTTCACTTAGCGCTCCGGTCTTTACTTTCTTTGGTTTATTTCTCCTTCCCTTCTCTACTGCACACCTGCATGCCTCACCAGCCTAAGATGCACTGTCCACTTTTTTGTTGTTAAACAACTTTTTCAGTTTGTCAGCTTAGTGTTTTCCTCCTACCAAGTATAGCGTTTTCATTTCTCTTACAGGAATATCTTCCTTTTCAGGAGTTCATTGAGGAGGAAAAATTTACTGCACATTCTAGTGTCTCTACAATCAGTAGTGAGAGATTTGCAAGGAAATGTAGTAAGTCAGCCCTGAACAGAGAAGTACAATGTTTATATACCTCTGAATACAGCTTAGGTTGACTCGTGTGTGTTTCTGTCTATATTTTAAAGAGAAGCTCCTAAATTCAGAAGAGATTCCCTTCAGTCAGTATATCGTTTCACCTGCTGCTAGCTTCTTGTACAGACAGTGCAGCTTATCTGGTCTAGGTAACTCAGCATCGGGGGTTGAAGGGATTTCAAAGTCAGAGGAGCTCTGAGAGTCTCTTTCTAATTCTGGATTAGGAGTCTTTGATTTCTCATTATTTACTTCAATTAGCGTGTTTTGCGTTTGAGCAGCACCAGTTTCTGCATTCGTCTCTTGGTTTTTCCCTTTCAAATCAGAGTCAATATTACCTGGACAAGGTGTATTTTGGTCCAAAGGCTTCCACCTATGGGATTCAGTTTGATTATCCATGGCCATGAAATGTGACACAGAAACTGTTACTCTGTTCCCTCCTTTGTTCAAAAAGCTGAAATCCGCACCATGTGTCTGTTGGGAGGTGATGAGTACTGTGTCTGCTTGGCTGTCCAAGCCCTGGCTCCCCTGCTCTGATATGTGCGTTGACTGAGAAGAATTCTGTGAGGAGATGTGGGTAGAATCACTTAAACTATCTGAATCACTGAACAAGTTTGGTGACTGGGACCTACCAGCATCTGTGGAAGATGGGAGATGGTCCTCGTTTTCAGAACTGTCATCTGTAGTTTTAATATCTCGCTTAAAGAAAACATCCCACTGTGGCA